TATTTTATTTCAGTCATGAGCGTGCATGCATATGATGCACACGCAAACCTAAAGTGGACACATGTTAATGTGCCAAATGATCTTGCACTCTTAATTTTATAAAATTAAATTAATTAAAAGTATACACGGTCAAAAAATGTTAACCGTGTACATCATACGATCAGCTCCTTGCTGATCGTGTTTGTTTTAAATTTAAAAAAAAAAAGAATGATGATGGTGTGCATGCACACGGTCAACTGCTGACCGTGTGCATCACCCACGGTCAGCAACTGTTGCTGATCGTGTGAAGTGTGCCTGGCGATCAGCAATCGTTGCTGATCGCACAAATAAAATTGTGATCAGCAACAGTTGCTGAGATATACAGAAAAGAAACAGTTGCAATTAAGAGTGAAATATGTGTGCGTGAGAGTTAAAAATAGTTTTTTCTCTCTTTCGACGTCGTGACTGAAATATCAAGAGTGCGGAGAATTGTCGCCACAATATTGCTAGCACAATTCTATTGGTGATTATCCGCAAGTTCTTCCTTCCGTTCGTCGTGCGATTGATGGTGTGTCTGAACTAGAGGTCCGACGATTGTGGGGCTCGAACTGAAGAAAATCCGAACCGAAATCATTTTGGACACGTTACGAGAGGTAATCCGATTAACCCTCTATGGTCTTCCGATTTTTTATTGAAACGCATGAACAACGCCTTTGGAGATACATGTGTAGTTATATCTTTCCGCTGCGTTTATATTTTTTAACTATGCATGTTCCGTAGAAAACTAACAATTCCCAGAGCCACAGCACTTGATGTCCATTCCCATGTATCAAAGTATCAATCGCATGAACAGCCAAATCGTACTAGCCCCTAGGGGTGTCAGAACCGAACCGAAAAACCGAACCGAGATACGAACCGAACCGAAAATTCATGTATTTTCGGTTCAGTTCGGTTTCGGTTCGGATAATAAATAAATGAATTTGGTTAACACAGTAGTTCGGTTCAGTTCGGTTCAAATCGGTTCGGATTTCGGTTTTTTAATGTGGTTTTCTTCCCTTCGCGCTCTCTCTCCTCAATCTCACTGCTCATTACTGCAGTACTGCTCACCTCTCACTGACTTTTCTCTCTCTCTCACTTTTTTACTTTATTCTCTCTCTTCCTCTGTCTTCACACTCTCACTGCTCTCCTCTCTCTCTCTCTTTCCTGCTTTATTCTCTCTCTTCCTCTTCCCTCGCAGGCTCGCATCATTATCCTCTCCCAAAAAGTGACGAAAGACATTTTTCTCTGCGGCTTCTTGAAGTTGGGCCAGGTGCCGCGCTTGAGGTGCTCGGAGGCGGTCCGCGACGGGTTGGAGGCGGAGAAGACGGCCTCGTAGAGGGAGTGCCGGAGCTTCACGGCCTTGGCGAGGCCAGTGTCGGCGTTGTGGACGAGCATGGGCTCGAGGTGCGCCCAGCACCACGCGCCCTTCCCCTTGACGGCTTTTGGCCGTAGCATGACAAGCCCCTTGTAGCGCTTGTTCACGGCCTCGGCCGTCAGCTCGTCGGCCGATGCCGACATCGAGATCGAGTCCACCTGGGCCGGCGACGGCGGCTCCGAGGTGTTTGTGATGGCCGCCATTAACCAAACGGGTCGTCCGAGTCCCGGTCCTCGCTTTTTTGTTGTTAGAGCGGGTTCAGTCGCCGGAAGTTCGGTCTCCGGCGAGTGTCCATGGCCGACTCCGGTGGTGATCTGGTGGGGCCTTTTGGTGGTGGGTCATCAATTGACCCGCTTCTTGACGGGAAGAAGAAAGAAGAAGCAGTCTCGCAGAGAAGGGAAGAGAGAGCGGAAGAAGAAGACGAGGAGGGGGTAGGGAAGAAGTGCGAAAAAAGATAAAAGAAGAAGAAACCGAAAAGCAAACCGAACCAAATCGGCTTATCGATTCGGTTCCAATTCGGTTCGGTTCCTATTTGGTTCGGTTCAAGGAGGCACCCTTAACGGTTCGGTTCGATTCGATTTTTCAAGAAAATCGAACCGAACCGAACCGTTTACACCCCTACTAGCCCCCACCCCATGATAACTCGGTGGGATGACATATTTCCTATTTAAGGCCATTTCCTCAATGGAAGGGAAAGCGACCGACAACTACTTCCTACCGATCGCAATTTGAAAGTGCGATGTTGGCGAGCCTATCATTACACACTTACCGAGATGCCAATAGTGAGGAATTCTCTCCACACACGATGCATTGAACAACTAAGTAACACCACATCTTCGGCCATTTTAAGATTTGTTCACGGCACGAATCAAATTCATAATCTCACGGAAGACAGTTTACCCCTTTACTACTTGCAATCGAGTGAGAATTCCTAGCTGTCCAGTCCAATTTTTAATAGGTGGCACCAAGTGACCCGCTATTATTTTATGCCTCCATAAAAAAAAATAAAAAAAAAACATTAAGATTCTTTTTCGTTCTGGTGTTTTTCTCTCTCACATTTCCTTTAATCGTATAAATTTTCTAGGCAACCGAACATTATAAATTCGAAATCTTGAATACTTTATCTAGTTTTCACCCTCCATTTTAAAAAACATCACGTATCAATCACGTGTGAGAAAACTATTCACTAAACTCGAGAGTTTATTAGAATCCAAATTCAAAGTAACACGCAACACCTATTCGCCATGTCATGCTAGCACATTAAATTTTAAGTTTCTATTTGCGAGCCCAAATCCAATTATCGCTTTGTAATTAAGGACCGAGTTTATATGTGTCAATGTTCTCTTATGTATTCAATTACGAATGATTTCACGTTCGACTTGCGTTTGTACCCGAATCACGAAAATAACCGACATACTTTTTCAAACGCCAGAAGTTGATCTTTTTCGTCAGGGTTCTTTAAAAGGTGCATTCGAAATGCATTTCGAAGCAAATTTTGAGCAAGCAAAAGTTTCGGCGTTTCGTAAATATATTTATTTCGAAAACTTCGACTAAAAAATGCTCAAAACCCACACGACGAGAATCCCCTCTAAACTTCGGCCTATTTTCCCATTTTTAGCCCTACCAACTAAATATATATATATTTCTGGATTTCCCATTTCGAAAATTACAGTAATGCTTCGGATAATATTATTATTACAATCCTCATTCAAATACCATTTACCTTAGTGGAGGGCCCTGCGGCAAGTTGCTGGGTTAGTCTCCTCCGAGGTATAAGCGCTCCGATTACCTGTGCGGGCTCGTCCCCGGGGAATGGTGGCGAATTCTCGATTACAAAAAAAAAAATACCATTTACCTTAGTTGAAAACATGTTGAAGGCAGTTTTGTCTTAGGATGCAAAGTCCAAAAATGTAAATTCATTGTCAAAACTCGTCATCATTGCTTGTCCCGGGAAAAGATATCGGCGTCCCCACTCCCCCCAAGGAAAATCCCGAAATTGCCCCCAGCGGCGGGCGCCACCGCATCGAAATCCATGTCACTCACGTGCCCCCCATCCAACCACCCACCCAACAGCATCCGTACACGTGTCCGCCGAATTCCAACACGTAACGTAAGTATCACATACCAATCTTAATAAGTGGAAGAAGCTAGTTCGCTAAATCCGAGAGATCTTAGAACGCAAAATTCAAAGCAACACGCGATGCACATTACAATTGATGCTCATTCGCTACACATACGCCGCCGGCACACTAAATTCTTGGTATCTATTCGGAAGTCCAAATCCAATCTGCTTTGTAATTTAAGGAATAAGGTTACACGTGTCGATTCACGAAGTAAGTTCGATTCTTCTATATTTTCAGTTGCGAATGAGATTTTACGTTCGAATTTCGTTTCTACTTGAATCGCGAAAAATAATTGACTTACTTTTTGAAGATCTAAAGTTCATCTTTACACGACTTTTCGGCATTGTCAATAGGCAACTTGGCCTTAAATGACTATTTTAGCCCCATCAACTAAATATATTTCCGGATTTCCATTTTGAAAATTACAATAATGCTCCACATACTATTATTATTCAAATATAATTGCGTTTGTTTTACGAAAAACTCTAGATTCAAAAAATATTTTTTTCAAAAAATAATTGTTTATGTCGCTTAAAAAAATGAAAGAATGAAAATGATTTTCATCATCAACGAAAAAAGTGTATAAATTTTTATCGATAATGAAAATATATTTTGCTAATTGATTTAACTAACCATTTTTCAATTTTTTTTTAAAATTTTAAATTTTGGGATAAGTGCATTAGAATTCCTAAAACTTGTCACGTAAGTACAATCGAATCCTAAAACTTTTAAAAAGTGCAATCAAATTTTAGAACTTATCAAATCGATCATATCAAAGTTCTTGTGTTGATTGTACTTTTTGAAAATTTTATGACTTAATTGAACTTTCGTGATGAATTTCAATACTTGATTACACTTTTTGAAAATTTTAAGAATTATTTATACATTTACATACATTTTAAAGCTTTCAATGTATTTATCCGTGAAATCGAACTGAGTTGAAAACACATTGAACGCATTTTGTCTAGTAGTCCAATCATCGTCAAATTTATCGTCTGTCCGGGAAAAAGACAATTGGGGTCCTACTTTTCTCCCCCTACTCCCCACCACATACCAAATTTCCCCAGCGGCCGACCACATCCCAAAAAAAAAAAATTCATGTCGATCACGTGCCCAACCTCCTCCCCCCCCCCCCCCCCCCATCGATTCGCTGGAGCCGTACACGTGTCCGATGAAAACCCAACACGTAACGCAACAATTGCGATGGTTCTGCTCCCACGATCGCCCCGCTGCGGAAAGTACGGGCACCAACCAATCTCCGGACTCCACGTCACGCAACAGGAGGGGACGAAAGCAGGCGCGTGCGCGTGCGCGTGCGCGTGCACGGTACGCGCCGTCTATTCGCGATTGCCACGTCACGGGTCGTATCAGCCGGACTGAGAAGGCGAGACACTATAACCAAGTGGCACCAACCCCCGAGGCGGGTGAATTCCCCATAAAGCCCCTGCCATCTCTCTCGAGGCTCTCGCACGCATGTGATCTCCTCCTCCTCCTCCTCCTCTTCGTCGTACGTTTTTTGCGGGGATCGGGAGCGTCCGCGCGAAGCACTTTTCTTTCCCCGTCGCGACCCCCCCGGAGATGGCGGAGCCGGTGGCGCCGGAGCAAGACGAGGAGCGGTTGCTGCTGCCGGAGGCCGGCAACGGCGACCGGTCGTGGCGGCTGAACTTCGACGGGTTCAAGTTCTCGCCGGAGCACGCGCAGAAGAAGCAACCCCGCGGGATCCATGATTGCTGCCTGGGTGTTCTAGGTTCTCTCCTTCTGCCCGGGCTTTTTCTTTCTTTCTTTTCTCGACAAGTTTCCGGCGAAATGGATGTACTTTTGCGTGCTTTGCGGTTGCTTCGTTGTTTTATTATGCTATATTTAGCGTGGGCGGAACTGTTCAGTCGTCATTATTGTTCTGCTTCACCGGCGAAATGAATGTAGTTTTGCGTTCTGCATGACCTCATCCGTTTTCTTTGAATCTGGTTTTGTTGAGGGAAACCATCTTGAAGAATATCTCGAGATGACACTCCGTGTCTTTTCTGAGTTCTCTTCTTCTGAGGAGGCAAGCATCGAGGTGCAAAGGCTCCTCCTTTCCTCCCAAAGGGAATAGGGTCAGAACATTGCAATGAACTGAAGAAGAGTACTCCCTTCTTGATTGAAGTGTCTGCCCAGTAACCCCTTTTATAGCTAAACCCAAACCCTTCCTGTGGACGACGAGATTCGCCCCTCGAGTCAATCCTGCTGATTTCGTCTTTGCGTTTTCCTTTCACTTGCCTCCATCTAGTCGGTAGAGGCTTGCTCTGTGGTGATGCAACTAGTCTAATGAAACTTAAATTAAATCTCTCCTACGAGCATCCTGAAATTATGAAACCAGAATAATAATCGGTGAAAACCTCGAGCCCACTCAAATTTTAAATGTTATTTGGGAAGGAGATACTCCCTTCCATACTTGAATGACGCCTCTTGCATGAGTGCTGAATGGCTTTGATCGAGTAAAAGATTCACAATAATAAGTCGGAGGAAATTTGAGAATTTTTAAGAAGTTTTTCTGACAAATGTCAAGTCGTGAGATGGTTTTCCTTAAGGGTGAGCGGTTTTCGGTCCGGTCCGGTTCAACCCAAGAACCGGGAACCGGACCAGGAGGTCCGGTTCCCAGTTTCTAGGACCGGGGACACTGGTCCGGTCCGGTTCCAATGTGACCAATCACTTATTGGTAAAGGCAAGAAGAAATTGGAGAAATTGAAGAAATTAGATTAGGCTTTTTATTTTTTCAAAAATTTTAAAAAGTAAATAAATATATATAGGAAAAAATTAGAAAAATATATATATTTATCGGTCTGGTCGGTCCGGTTCCCACCCTAGAACCGGGAACCGGACTGCCCAGAAACCGGTTTCACTTTTAGGAACCGGGAACCGGACCAATATTCCCGAGAACCGGACCAAACTGGTCGGTCCGGTCTGTCCCGGTTTGGGCGGTCCATCTTGCTCACCTCTAGTTTTCCTTCCTTCCTTTTTTGAGAGAGTTTAAACAGATATAGATGCAATAAGGGAAGCCTTCCTAGGGACTGCTTTACAAAAACTTCCTAAAATATCCCCTTTAAAGAAAAACTAACGTTTGAGTTATTTGCAAGGTAATTTCTTTGTACAAATGTTACCTTACAAGAATTCTTGTAAATCTCAAACTACATTGCTTTGAAAATGGGGACTTACATTGATTAAGGGATGGTTCCTTGGATAGACAAATGGGAGGCATACATATGAAACCTTGGAAAGGTGCCGTACATAATTACAGATAACAGTCTACAATTATGGGGTTAGAACAGCAGCAGCGAGGAATTCATACTAGCAAAGTTTTCCTACAACATGTAATGTCTTTGGCCCGTCTTTTTTCCTATATGTTGGGCTTGATTAGGGATGGTGATTGTTACAAAAGTAGCTTTGTTCTCTGGATAAGAATCTGTTATCCTTTAGAAATATCTATTCCATTTTGGCCTTGTCCACTTGATTGTTAGTTTAGTGGTTTTGCCATTTTGGTACTGTAATTTAGTGAGAAAATCTTGGGTGTCACACTGAGTGAGACAGCCGATTGGAACATGCCAATTCAATTTAATTTGATAAAACCTGCAGGTGTCATCCTGCTGATATGGTCTCACTGGGAAATGCTAAAGATGCTAAAACTTTTCTCCTGAACTATATTTTCTAAGTGATTCAGCAGGATTACTTTGGAAGCCAATCACTTTGTGTACGATTCCCACTTGTTTAACATCTTTGTCTTCCTAAGTCCCTCTGCACACAAGTTTAGTGAAAGCTTTTAGTATCCTTACCATTGCTCTTTCTCATATTTAGCGGTTTTAGTTTGGTGACTCGAGTGATGTTAACTAGCATCCTTGTATGTCCTTTGTTGCGTTAATATAGAAATTTATACTTCTTTTCTTCAAGCTTACTCTCGCCGCTATAGATCGGTGCTCCCAACCCCCCCACTTCAAACAAAAGAAAAAGTTATTATGCATCAAACTTGTGTGGATATTATAGCAGGGTAGTAGCTTGGCTGCCTTATTGATATATCTAGCCATGCTATGAGTACATGGGATTACATCATTGGCATGGAGTGTGGCGATTAATTGTTTAATTCTTCAGAAAAGATAGTTGGTAAGAAACTCATCTGAAGTTGATACGTGATTGAAGGTCTAGCACTATGAATGTTGGAGATGGATAAAACGTGGGAGCATGGAAGGCCTGCATAATTGTTCCCTGAAATTAACGTTGTGACTGTGTTGTGAGTCTGAAGTTAAGTCTCAGCTTCGTAGTTTTTTGGCAACTTTGACAGAGATTGAAATGACAGTACCTCATCACTTGCCCTTGGGTACTAGCTCGTGTACAAGCATGTCTCTTGTCTCATCATCGAATTATTTGGAACTTGCAAAATTGCTTCTATGTGTGTACTGGTGTGTGCTTAGGAGAAGCACGCTTGTTTACATGCATGACATGTTTGTGCACTAACAACCACAGGTTGGTATCTGCGTTTACACAGCATTTAGAAAGCATTAGTTATTCAACAAGGGACGAGGGTTGACGCTGGTGATTTTTTAAGACAAACGACTGGTGCTTACTGGGATATGGATTTCGAGTTTTTTCTACATGTTTCTGAGCTCAAGAAATCTATACTCCCTTCCTCTGTTGCTCTTTACATGCAAGACGTTGGATTTTGAGATTCAATTACTTTTTATGACTTAGGTCCTGAGGATAATGTGGCTGAGTACTATCAGCAACAAGTGGAAATGCTTGAGGGCTTCAATGAAATGGATGCTTTAACTGAACGTGGTTTTATTCCTGGAATGTCAAAGGTCATTCTTGAATTTTGATGCTCTGTGCAGTCTACTAAATTAATTTTGTCCCTCAATCTGATAGAAAGGACGTTTAATTGCCTGTCTAACAGTTCCTATTGGAATGATTGGTGTTTTATTTGCAGGAAGAACAGGAGAAGTTGGCTAGAAATGAAACATTTGCCATAAGAATATCAAATATTGCAAACATGGTTCTTTTTGCAGCGAAAGTATATGCTTCCATTAGAAGTGGATCGTTGGCCATCATAGCCTCCACATTGGACTCCCTTCTCGATCTGTTGTCAGGCTTCATCCTGTGGTTTACTGCATTCTCTATGCAAACGCCAAATCCCTATCATTATCCTATAGGAAAGAAACGGATGCAACCATTGGTAAGTCCACCATAAATTATTGCCCATAAGAATTGTGTTACGTAATTTTCTCACATCAGCACCGGGTGCTTCTTGCAATGTTCTGGGTTATTAAGAAGTTTCTCCTTTTCTTTTCTTGTATATAGGCTTACAGGGCTCAAAGGCCAATATGCTTTTGTCACGGGCCGGTTTCCATCCTGAATTCATTAATATTTCATGGTCCAATTTGTATGAGATTGGTGTCATAGTTTAGTATGTCCTTCATTGATGACAGAGGGGGAATTCTTGGTTTAGTATTCCACTTGTTCGACCATCTTTAAGCAAGCTGGTTTGTTTTAAGGGTGAAAAAACTTCTCATTGCCTTCTTGAGCCTTTCCTTATGATGTCTACACTTTCGTATGTCAAGCTGTGCCTGAAACTTCTGTTCCCTTTTCAATATTGTGAATTGGTCACTTGGATGATATGCATAATGCTTGCTCTTTACTGTCAGAAATGGCCGCCTCCTTTGTTTCACGACAAAGAAGAGTAATTTGGGGAGAAAAAGCAGTTATTGTTCTTTGTATTTTGAATAGATGTTTTCATCTTCAATGGCCATTCAAAATATCAAAATCCAGTCCTGAATCAATTGAATGAGAGGCAAAATTGGCTCTTGGAGTTCCTAGCACCGATTAGAGGATTTACTATAATTTGTGTGTTTTTCCTTAATTATTGATCTCGTGTCTGTACAGACCTCCCTTCCTACCCTGACCTCTTGGCCTCTTTCCACTGATATGATCATCTGATTTTCCCACTTATGTTGTGAACGTAAAATATGGGTGTGTAATCTATCTAGTTCATAGGGACATCATTGGTGGAATACTCGAATATATAGCTCTTATGATTGCATCTGTAATTTTGTTTTTTGATTCTTGAATTTAACAATTAGATGGCATGCAGGGAATCCTTGTGTTTGCCTCTGTGATGGCCACTCTTGGACTGCAGATTATCTTGGAGTCAGTGCAGCAATTGTTATCTAATGTATGTATTTTATTAACTTTTAAGGCATGAAGTTGGGACCTATTACTTCAAAGAATCATGAACATTTTTAACCCTTTGACTTCCTGTTGTTCCCAGGAGGCTGAATTTAATTTAACAAAAGAGCAAGAGCAATGGCTTGTGGGTATCATGCTCTCTGTGACTCTGGTCAAATTCCTTCTAGTCCTTTATTGCCGGTCATTCACAAATGAGATCGTCAAAGCATATGCCCAGGACCACTTTTTTGATGTCATAACCAATGTCATTGGTCTCGTTGCTGCACTCTTGGCTAATTATTTTGATGGTTGGATGGATCCTGTCGGAGCTATTATTGTAAGTGAATCTGCCCACTCCGTCTCTCATGCTTATGCACGATCATTCACATGCTCTTTGGTTCTCTGTTTGTACTCATGAAAGTTTGATCGTCTTGTAGCTTGCGCTCTATACCATCCGGACATGGTCAATGACAGTCCTGGAAAACGTGAACTCCCTTGTAGGGAGATCTGCAGCTCCAGAATACCTGCAGAAACTCACGTACCTCTGTTGGAATCATCACAAGGCGATAAGGCACATCGACACTGTCCGAGCCTACACCTTTGGATCCCACTACTTTGTCGAGGTGGACATCGTCCTGCCGGCTGATATGCCTCTGCAGGAGGCGCATGACATCGGCGAGTCCTTGCAGGAGAAGCTCGAGCTCCTGCCAGAAATCGAGCGCGCCTTTGTTCATCTCGACTACGAGTATTCGCACAAGCCAGAGCATGCTCAAGCGCATTCGTAGTGGTAATGCTTACATTATGTTTCCAGGCCCACTTCTCAAGCAACTGTGTATTGTATAATTGTACGGGAATTGGAATGTGCTATGTGGCTGCAGCTTTTGTAGCTTTAAAATGTAAAAATACTTCAAATCGAGCCTACTGCATTTCCCAAATGACTGAATACTGGGTTTCCCCTTTTAGAGAGTGTATGATGGGTGATGTACAGGAAAAGATGTGAAGCTCTTTAGACATATATGGTTACATATTTTGGACTGAAACGATTAGAATTAGGCTTGGTGAATTTTATTGTATTATCCATATTATAGGGAATCCCTCAATGAAGACGGTCCATTGATTTGATATGTAGAGAAAAAATCTACCGTCTTTGTTTTATTCAGAAACTTAAAACCAATGATTAGTTATTGGAGCAAATAGCGACACCGCCATATCATTCGACATGAGCAGTTGTGATTTTTCATTGGATTTACCTCTCTTAATGGAAATTTATGCAATTATTAAAAATTTCTTGTTTAGGTAGTTCATTCTGTCCATACGTAGTGTTTTGATCTATTATTTCAATTCTTTCGTGTCTCGACAGCAGCATACTGTCCGATCAAAATCGGGAAGAAAAATTTGTTTCTATGAATTATGATTCACTTAATCCCTATTTCATGGCTACATATTTTCTCGGCTAAGTAATGGGACATATGGTTGCGTACCGTCCATTTTAATCATAGTAAAATATGACGGTTTTTCAGAACGGTCGTAACTTGTCCTTACTTAAAAAGGGTGAGAAAACGGTGTGTTCAAGTGTCAGGTTCTTCCAATTGTTCAAATTAGTCCTCACATGGATAATAACATGGATTTATGAATATTGTGCATCGATCCCGAACTACCTAGTATTAGCCTATCTCAGAGTCAGATATCGACCGAGCCGCATTTGGGCTTTAAATCAAGACACCAGGGTGTCACTTTTGGACGATGATTCGGGCACCCGCCAAGATGTTAGGCAGTACATTAACGGAGACACCGGGGTCGCCGCGGGCTAGTACTGGTCAGAGCGCGGTGAAAAATCTCGAATGCTGTTCAGTCCAGTTGTGTCGCTCTCGAGCAAAGAAGAGACGTGGGTGGGTTGGACTGTCGCAGCCGTGAGCCGGCGAAGGAAGATAGATACATAGATGGATGGCGTGACGGCATCGATCCAGATCGAGATCGAGGTGGACCCGGACGCGATCACGTCCGCGTCCATCTGGGGGAGGGAAAACGGCCCCAAGCTGCTGTGTCGTCGTCCGATCCGCAACGCCATGTCGTTTTTGCCAAAAGGGCCGAGCCCTTTATTTTCCTTTTTCGACCCAAAAAAAAAAATATACACATATATATATATTAATTGAGAGAAAAAAAACAGAAAGAGGAAGAGAGAAAATGGCCAAGCTTGTCCAGGTTCATCCAATCACAACGGGAACTCAAAATCCCTCGTCATTTAAACCCCAACGAGGCAACGAAGGAAATAAAATTGGAAAAAAAAAATTGAAGTAAAAATCGCGCGTCGTATATATATATGATAGGCGTCTTCAAGCTGACAACAACGACCGAACCAGCCCCACCCCCACCCGAATTTTCCCCCGCGAAAGCCAAAAAGCTCGAGCGAGAAAAAGATCAGAAAGAGGTAAAAAAAAAAAAAGCCGTACGGAGCAGGCCCCCTCGGCTGCGTGGGGCCTCGTTCCGTCTCCCCTCCCCATAGAAAATGCGCCATCGACGGTGCCCATGGAGATAACGTACGCCTCCGCCAGCTCCCCCGACCTCGCCGCCGTCGCCCGCCACGCCGGCTCCAACCCTTCCTCCTCCTCCGCCTCCTCCTCCTCCTCCGTCATGCCGCACTCCCGCCCCGTCAAGGTCATCCCCCTGCAGCACCCGGCGGCCCCGCCGTCGTCGTCGGCGGCCGGGGCGGCGGCGGCGGCGGGCGGCTCGATGTGGCTGCGGTGGAGTTCGAAGGCGAAGCGGATGACGTGCGTGGAGTGGATCGAGGTCTTCCTGCCCTGCGTCCGGTGGATTCGGGCGTACAGGTGGCGCGAGTACTTGCAGATCGATCTCATGGCCGGGATCACCGTCGGCGTCATGCTCGTGCCTCAGGTGATTGGCGTTGATGCCCTCTGGTCGCCTGCAACGTTCCTGATTTTCGCGCCTCCTCCTCTCTCTTTTCTCGGGTTTGAGCTTTTGAGATTGCGTTCACTTCTCGGGAAATTGAGTTTTCAATGTGCTGTTTTAAGTTCTTTCTTTTCAGTGCTTTTGAGAGTTGAAGATGTGAAAATCATCAGAGTTCACTGGTGATGCTGTCGAATTTCGAGTCGATTTTGTGTCTTGGATTTCATTATTCTAGTACCGTCCATTTTTGAGCAATTCTCGTTGAATTCAACTATTTCTGGGCAACAGAGAGGGTTCTCTTGTTTGCATCTCGCTCGACGCTTTGGCTGCTTCGAAGAACTTCTTTGCAATGTCATTTTGCAGACTCTGTTCGCTCTTGCGTCTTTTTGACGAATTGTTTTTTTTTTTTTTTTTTGGGTTCTTTTCATTCCCTTTTTGATCTTTCTTGTTCATAACGCATCTTCTTCAATTCTTGCCCAACAGAGGAAGGCACTGTCCTCCCCGTCGTCGTTTCAGCGTTTTTCACGTGCATGTGATTGTTAATCACGTTCTGTACCATCTCCAAGTTGACATTTCCCTGTTGAGTAAAGTAGTCAGCTGGCGATGATTGGGCGGATTTTCATCTTCCCACTCGTTACGATCCTCTTGTCACTTCCCTTGAACTGTTGCCTTGAGCTGATTAGTAAAAGCGCTGAGTCAGTCACTTGCCAGATCTCGTATTAATTTTCAAAGCCGCCTTGCCCAATTCTTGCAGCCAATCCGGCAGGAGAGATCGGACGTTTCGTGTTTACATGTGTCACGTTTCGTTCACCTAACAATGCTGCTTCCGTTTTTTTCTATGTTGTCTCATGTAGTACTTTCTCACGCTGTTCTTGTTCATTTTTCACCTTTTCTCCGTAATCGTGGCAGCATCGATCATGTGAGAAATTTTTTGAAAATGAATAGTGGTCTTCCTCTTTTGGGTTTGGTCGTAATTTCTTTAAAATCTGACTGCTCTGTCATGCCGTTGAGTTTCCATAAGAAAGGAACTTTTTAACCTTTTCTCGGGAAGATTGATCCCACTTTGACTGTACCTAATGACTTGATGTTGTGGATTGGACTAATATGATTAGTATGAGGTTGAAACTGTTTGTTGTGACTGGCCAGGCAATGTCATACGCAAAACTAGCTGGGTTGGAACCGATTTATGGCCTCTGTAAGTTTATTGCGTCAACATTTGCTTCTTTTCTTCTTATGGCAGCTTGTGAACTTCTGTCCTAAAATTGACTGCAGCAATGCTGTGGGGAGTAACATTCACCTTCCTAAATGGCGATATAGAATCACAACTACACTATACACCAAGCACCTGTCTACATGACACTAACAATGTATTAAATGTTTGAAATCTACCTCTCCAAATTCTCCTGCTGTTATCTAACGATCATGTCATACTGTTGGTGTTATTTTTATTGGGAGAGATTTCCTTTCGTATCAGTGACCTCTTTGAAAAAATTAAATGCTCCTAAATCGTTTGATCAATCCATGCTTGATGATACAAAAGACGTAATGGTGGCATTCTTCTCTTCCTTTTTATTTTCGAAATATCTAGCAAAAGATTCTAGAATAGTCACGTGTATCTAACATTCTTCATTGGGTTTTGTGAGGCAGACTCTGGTTTTGTGCCTGTATTCGTCTATGCCGTATTCGGATCGTCTCGTCAACTTGCAGTAGGCCCAGTAGCATTGGTGTCTCTCCTTGTCTCTAATGTACTGAGTGCAATTGTTGATTCTTCTGATGAGCTATACACAGAACTTGCAATACTGCTGGCTCTTATGGTTGGGGTATTGGAATGCATCATGGGGCTCTTGAGGTAATTACCGCCACTTGTTCTCTGAAATTTAGTCACGTGCTTGAAAGAGGGAGTGATGAATGTGTCAATATGAATCTGTGACTTATCTATATCAGCAATTCATGTCTTTTGGCTTGTGAGGATCTTGAGATGTCATTTTAATGTGAATAACTGTAATAAATGTTGTATGATATGAATTCAGTATTACCTCATGGGTGAGCTATTTCTTTATCTCCTTGTGAATCTTATGTTCCGAGATTCTTTCGATGACCAATGTTGTGTTGAGGGGTATTATTATCATAATTATTTTCAAGAAAGATCCACAATAAGATCTTACCTTGGCAAGTCACATATTGCTAGAAAATACTGTACCAATTACCACCTTTAAACAGCAGATTGAGCATTTATTTATGCTCTTGAGTTGAACGGGAATTATTGATATTTTTTATGGGGTTCAAGAAAAAATTTGTGTTACAGAGGGAGTATGTTATCCTTGGGCATCTGTCCTTTTAAGTTGTTTCTTTCTGTAAATGAGAGCTTGTAGAAGGCCTACTCTCCCTGCTTTATTCATGTTATTAATGATCTCTTTGGAAAAAGAAGTTGAATCGTATTTTTACCTTGATTGTTGATCTCTGTCTAGAAGTTCTCTCTCTCAAGAACATCTTTGTTAACTAATATGATGCATGGTCGTCTTTATTCCGTGGCTTCCTCGGTTCATTTCTAGTTCATATAAGTGTTTCACGTTTATCTTTAACAGGCTTGGATGGCTCATTCGTTTCATCAGCCACTCTGTAATATCTGGCTTCACATCCGCTTCTGCCATTGTCATTGGATTATCTCAAGCAAAATACTTTTTGGGATATGACATTGTTCGAAGTAGCAAGATCGTGCCCCTGATCAAAAGTATAATAGCTGGAGCAGATGGGGTAGGCCCTGCATGCCCAGGGGGTACATCCATCATCTGTTCACATACTAATATATTTCTTCGTGTCTATGTAAATGACATAACTTGAAGCTCACATTCTGTCACCAATACAAGTAACTAAAACTACGGACATTGTATGGCTGATACTGTAGCCATTATGCATCAGTGAATTTACCTGGTCCATCAGCGAATGTTAATTTAAATTCTCTTCGATATTGGTACATTTTTTTGTGGATGGGTTTTACTATTTTCATCACTTTGGCCCTTAATTTGAAGTCAGGAGTCCCTCTATCATGCTATTTTCTGTTTGTTCCTATTTATTACGTTGTGCCTGATATTTGCACTTATCAAGTTCCTTTTTAACCACAGGTCGTCTTTTCTTTTTGTAGTTTTCGTGGCCACCATTTGTTATGGGATGTGTTATTCTTGCGATCCTTCTGGTTATGAAGCACCTGGTACTAGCTCATTCACTCTTCTGTGGTGTAGAACTGATTTTATGCATATGGACATGACTGCTACTTTATGGTTAGGGAAAATCAAGGAAGTACCTGCGATTTCTGCGAGCAGCGGGGCCCCTTACAGCAGTGGTCTTGGGCACAGCTGTTGTGAAAATTTTTAATCTATCTTCTATTTCTCTGGTAAGAGCGAGGTAGATATGACCATTTTATTTGCTATGGTATTGTGCTGATTATTTCTTTCTCTGGAAATCTTGCGAATATACAACTGAATGATCAAATTACATAATCTTGGGATGGTTGTCATCTCAAAATTCCAGTCGACATACGAAAATTTGTGTCAATCTATTATAACTTGAAATTGCTGTGTTTAGTGTAGCATAAGTTCGATTGTGCCAAGATATATATATATATATATATATATATATGTAATTGGCACAATTATGTATATATTCTTTCATTTTCATGTTTTTTTTCTTCATATAAGTGGCTTTTGGAAGATTATTAGTTTTTCCCATTTCTCTACTGGTGAATTTGAGAGTTTGGGTGGGGCAGTTTCTTGAGGAGCACCCTCATGGTCATTGGACCAGCTACTAGCTAAAACATGTGCTAAAATTTGGATCACCAAGAGCGGGGACATCTCGGAGATTAACACCGAGGAATTTCAACCTAAAATTTCAGAAGAACTAGCTGTCTAGTAAAATGAACACAGTCAAATGTCTCATATTTCCTGTGATTGAGAGTTGTGAAGTGCTATGTAGTTATAATGACAATGGCCGAAACATACTATTCCTTACCTTGGATTTCTCTGAAATTTTTTTTTTCGATGAGGTATAACTCAGCCAAGGGGAAATGACAAGGAGCTGATGAAGGATGTTTTCTATTGTTTTAGGTAGGTGAGATACCACAGGGCCTCCCAAGCTTTTCTGTTCCGAAGAACTTCGGGTATATGACATCTTTAATTCCAACTGCACTTCTCATTACTGGCGTGGCTATATTGGTGAGATTATTCATCTGCTAATGTTGTTTGTACTCTGATGACAATCAGTACTACAGCTGAATAAATTGTCTTTTTTCATTTTTGGCATTTCAGGAATCTGTGGGAATTGCCAAAGCATTGGCAGCAAAGAATGGATACGAGTTGGACTCCAATCAAGAGGTGCGCTCTTCAATCATTAAACTGTGGACATTAGAGACTTGGATGGGAGATAAAGGGGTTGACCCAACTGGTGGCCACTAGAAATTGCATACGCGTCAGTGCAGAGAATAATATGTTAATTACTTTACTAGTAATATTGTGATGTAGTAGGAATTAGTTTACCACATTTGCAGATTTTTGGTTGCATCTCATTCTTGCCACAAGCTTTATATTTGTTTGAGATTGGGAACAGCGGTTTTACTTTGCTAAAGAGTTGTTAAACAGTGATGGCTGTAGGATTGCTTCACGGTGTTGGTTTATAGATACTATGTTCATAAAATACAGATCTTGCAGTCTCTTTTCGGGATGCATTTGCCACTTTCGTGTCATCTGATGTTTTTATAAGTAGGACTTGGAGATGAATTTGGTAGGCCTTATAACTTGATTTGTCATCCTTGTCATTCTACCACTCATGCTCCATGGACAATTCAAGCTGAAGCTTATTGTATGGTACCACGATTTTTTTTCATGCGATTTTAGTAGAATGTAGAGAAGATATTGAAGATGATATCCATGGCTGAATCTCTATATGGTTATAAGTTTGAAGCTTTCTTGGAAAGTCAAAGCATGTCCTTTTTGGTCTTTGCAAAACATAAACGCTTATAGGGCCCTTTATTGCTTCCCAATGTTCTCAGCTTCCTTTTAAAGAACAATAATGATTCTGAAGAATTTGCGTTCTGGAATATCACCGACTGTACTTTGTGCCAATATGAGTATTATAGCATGTCCATAAGGGTTGTTCGTATCATGACCTCTCCTAATGGATCATTTCTTCTTTTTTGAACAGCTTTTTGGTCTTGGTGTGTCAAATATACTTGGTTCCTTTTTTTCAGCATACCCTACTACAGGTGAGAAATGGAGTTCTTAAGAGCAGTCTAGATGACTCTCATTTTATGCTCATGTTAAAAGAACATTGGAAAGTTTGCCAGTACTCTAATTGAGGCATTAGATAAGCATTTTATGTTAATTTGCTGATGAAATCACGTATACTATGTTGCTCTCAGGTTCCTTTTCCCGGTCAGCTGTAAACCATGAAAGTGGTGCAAAGACAGGTGTATCTGGAATTGTTACAGGAATCATAATGGGCTGTGCCCTTTTATTCTTGACTGAGTTGTTTGAATATATACCACAGGTATGCATCCTTGTCAGCAATTGTTGTTCTTATGGATCTGCATTTATGTCAGGGATGTCATTCTTTGGTGGGATTACTGTCTCTTTCTGCTGGTTTAGGAGCACACATGTGCTGATTAAACGGTGCTTTATTTTGTAACCGATGACTCAAGGGAAGGATCTGAGAATGTTTATTTTGTATTCTATTATTATCTAAGTCCTATGGTCTCCTCTTCGTTTGGAATACTAACTATTGGCTCAACATTTTTGTTATCTGCAGTGTGCACTAGCTGCCATTGTGATATCTGCTGTTATGGGCCTGGTAAGTAATCCTGTTTACTATTCGTATTAAATTTGATATGAAGAACCAAGATCGAAGGAACTCTTAGAAGACTTCTTTTCAGTCATTTTAGTGTAGCTGATTAAAATCTAGGAGTTCATTTTTCTGATGATGCTCTTGTGCTTCCTCCATTCTGAGTAACTAACTTTTTCGACCTTCTGTGATAATGATGTGTTACATGAATTGGAACTGCTGCTAGATGATAGTTCTGTCTGCAAGAGCATGTCTACCTGTAAAAGAGCTACGGGTTGTCCTGAATGTATTAACAGAGAACACATGATCTGCTGAAGCATGTTTGCTGTTCCCCCATTTTTTTAAAATTATTGATGACTGTCCATTTCAGGACAGATGACATGTTCGTGGAACATATTGTGATTTTTTCTAACGAAAAAATATTGAGTGTTGTGTATAGTCCTAAGTGAGGCTTGCACCTTACAGGTTACGCATTTAGCTTGAAGATTGCTAATATTACCTCCTTTATTTTTTCATTTGCTCCCTTCCAATGTCACTAATGCCATCAACCTTATTCTATTGTTTGAGTTGCCTTCAAGGATTTCTAGTCTTGTTTGTCTTTCATCTGCATTTCTGTCATCTGGTTTGCTTGTTATCTGAGTGATAAGTCTCCACATTATCCACATACAAGGTTCTAATAGGCCTCAGAAGCCTGGATCGTCCTCCAGCTAAATTCTTTAAGTTATTAATCAATATATGCTTATTTTTATGTAATCTTGAACTATATAATAGATTTCACACAAGTAAACTAGTCCTGTATTTACGCTTGCCATGAATTTTTAAGTGTTAGCAAATTATGATTTTATGTATCAATCTTCTATCTTATGACAGAAATTGTTGTGGAGATTAGTTTCATATTTGTTCTAAATGATCATTGATGTCCATGTGCATGTTGATTTTATTTACTTTCTTAGCGCAGAAATTTTAAGAACAGACTTTTTACAGAGAAACTACACTAAAGTCAATCTTAAAGTACGCAAAGGAGCGAGAATTACTGTTAGTTTATTTAGTAATGAAATGGTAATTCAAGCTATTGCTTTTTTGTGATACTATTTCAGGTGGATTATGAGGAAGCTATATTTCTTTGGCGTGTGGATAAGAAAGATTTTCTTCTTTGGACAATTACTAGCACAACAACATTGTTCTTTGGTATTGAAATAGGTGTCCTTGTTGGGGTGAGTACATGGAGCCACAGCATTTGAGCTACTGAATGTAGATATTTATGCTGTATATACATTCATGCAGGCATAGTGGTAGACATCATGGGCATAAACAAGATTACTCAGATTTTGTCAGATGATGCTAAATCTTTTTGGATTAAAGAGCATGAGCTGCGTTGATGTACTTAGACTTTAGGATAGAAATTGGTTTGAGAAGGTCACTATTGATTTGTAATAATCCCTACATAAAGCAGCTTTATCATCATAGGAGCCCTTGAAGGAGCTTGTAACTTACAATCCAATTTTGACATGTTTTTGATGCTAGGTTGGTGCTTCTCTTGCTTTTGTCATTCATGAATCAGCAAATCCACATATCGGTAAGTTGATTTGCTTATAAGCTGCTCTTTGTTTTCGTTCTTTGCTGCTGCTTATCTGGTTAACGATGCCATTACCATATGTCCTGGTATTTCGTTTTGTCATTATTCTCCTTTAATGGTGAAAGCTGCTTCATTTGCTTTTCCAAATGTCTTCTCTCTCTCTCTCTCTCTCGTGTTGATGCATGTCAATGTATTCCTCAGCCTCATGATAACTCCTCTGCCTCAAAGACTTCCCATCTTGTTATCTGTTTTGCAGCTGTCTTGGGGCGCCTACCTGGCACCACTGTCTATAGAAATATAGAACAGTACCCAGAAGCGTATACCTACAATGGAATTGTTATTGTTCGGATTGATGCTCCAATATATTTTGCCAATATTAGTCACATAAAAGATCGGTAATTGTACGGCTTTGCCCTCCCTATCTGGTTCATTTTCATTCTGAACCTGTTAGTTGTTCTCATTTGTCTATGAAAGGAAGCACTAAGTATTCTAAAATTTCTTTTCAGGCTACGGGAATATGAAATTGAGGTCGATAAATCCACACGAAGGGGCCCGGAAGTTGATAGAGTTTATTTTGTGATTCTAGAGATGGCACGTAAGTTGTTATTTAAGTGATTAATGTGGTTATCTATACAAAAACAACATGGAAATGATTCTTCATTGGAGTCTTCATTATGTCGAATTAATATGGAAGTGAAAGTACACAAGAGTTAGTTATTCTAGTCGGCTTTGCAATGTATCTCTCCTGTCTCTTGAAAAGTTAGTTGGATCCTACAATTAGTTTCCGAGCTAATTTTCTTCCAGGCTGAAATTTATTCCAGGTGCGGATGTAATTTATCATGCAAATATCCGCTGTTGATCATCATAAGTTGAATTATAGGCTTTGTAGGCCTAACAATAGGTGGAGTAGTCGTAGCCCTTTTTTTGACAAAAAAAAAAAATTGCCTTACTTGGGAAAAGGTTTCCATGAGCCATGGACTAAGTATTCTATATTGATGTGTTTTGTCATGTATGTCAATTTATCAGAATATAGTTGAGTTGATGTTTCGCGAATAATTAATTGCTTATTTGTTGGCTAAATTTTAATGTTATATCTGTTTTGTTCTTTATGAAATCTACTCCAAATCCTCAAGCCAAGAGCACGGCTTAATGTTGCAACAGGCCTCATAATTTGGTTTAGTTGTAGGTGGATACAGAAGAATTCGGCCAGTCAAGCCTCACCTTAAAAAAATGCAGACTTTTTATAGGATTTCTATCATTCTCGGCTTAAAGTTCATGGAAACAGATTTATAACCTCATTTATTGTTACTCATGCTAATATAGGCCTTGGCTTTACCGCACTGAGGTTCTTGTGCTGCCACATCTTGGAATCACATCTTCATTTCTTGTTGCAGCTGTCACGTATATTGATTCCAGTGCTGTTCAAGCTTTAAAGGACTTGTACCAAGAGTACAAATTACGGGACATTCAGGTTTCTTGATCTCTACCGATAACTATTCATTCATTTTCTTGTCAGTCTCAATGGCAGTTCCTTTGGCCGTCTCCACTAGCATCTGAGACTTTTCCTGGTGTGGCAGATCGCTATTTCCAATCCGAACCGGGACATCCTGCTTACTTTTTCAAAGTCCGGAGTGGTTGACATGATTGGTAAGGAATGGTTTTTTGTTCGAGTCCATGATGCTGTTCAAGTCTGCCTCCAACATGTCCAGAGCCTAAAAGAAATGCCCACAACACCCGACCCTCCACCTGAGGATAGACCAAGTCTCTTGCAGAGATTACTCAGGCAAACCGGGGAGGATCTCTCGATTCTTGAGCTGGAGTCCGGAAATCAGAGGCCTCCAGCATCTATGGACACCGATCCTCAATTGGAACCTCTCTTACCCCGGAAGCCTTGAACGTTTCTTCCCGGTGATGGATGTGCAGCCAGAAATTATTCGCACGAGGCCGTGCTCAATTGTATGATCTAATAATCCATTTTTTTCCGGCCATAAGGGAGGATTTTGTTTTCTCTTTCTCTGTGAGTAAAGTAGATAATCTTGTATAATAGGATTAGCATGTATCACTGTATTATATTCATCAATAAGTAGATCTCAATTCGCTGCATTCTATGAGCTTACCAATGTAATTCCGTTTCCCTCCCTTTCCGATCGATTTCTTTGCCCCTATTGCTCCTCTACCGTGACTCATTAATACCTTCTTCTGAGAGAAGTGTCTAACTGCGAGATACAAAGTGCAGCTATCTTTCTTTGGATGGCAATTCCTCAAAATGAGTTGCGTGGCTCACCAAGCTCGAATTACTATGGATAAAGACGGCTTTTTTTGCATCATTGCTTCTTGTTTTGTCTCAGAAAAGAGACAATTATCTAAAATGTTGAAGTTTTGAAGCGTTGAAATTGGGTGATAGACAGAGTAATCAAGACCCATGTTCACAAATTCGTGCTTTAGTAGGCCTGTCCTAAAAACCAGATATGCTCATTCAAGGCCGCACATTCTCTTCTAATCTAGGGTGAAAGACCGGAAAAACACTGGGAGGTTCTTCCGCTTGAGGTCCTCGAAGAATCGGTTGACAAACGCTGGAATCGTCGGGACCGAAGCAGGTGTCCACGAGACGGTGTAGATTGGGGAGCGTTGATTAATATCATCGGGCGGGTAATTTTGCCCTTTTTTTTTTCCTGTCACCCTCGTGTCCTGATCCGATTTCTCTTATGCCTATGTGGGTTGAGAAGTGGGACTTTGAGGCATTGGATGAAGAGTGAGAGATGCAGAATGGTTGATACACTTAGTTCGTGGGAGTGGCGTCAGGGTTTTGTTCTAGAAATTTGGGGATGGGATAATTATCATCTTACAGGATCTTTGAAGGTGAGGTTGGCCTTTCTTGCACAAATTGGTCGAGAGTTGATGTTGTTCTCCTGGTGATAGTCATGACAGGTCGAAACTAGTTATTGTGTTGAAGTGGTGCCATTTGATATGAGGATTCAATTCGCCATGTTGTCCTTGAGAAGAACATATTGAGGGAACGCTGGCCTGGTGTTTCAATATACGTGGTACCACACTAGCTCGTCTGCAGCCATGAAGCTTTTGGCCCGTGACACTAGCGTGGCGAGATTTCTTCTTTCTAGTGCTTTAAATGGTTGATTTCTTCATGTTGCTTAGAGCTTCATCCTGAGTTAAGCTTGAGCTCTGCGATTATCTCTTGTTGAGTCGAGCTCGAGTTCGCTAATACTAAATTGGATAGACTCTTGAGTCTGATCGAACTTCTATGATTTTGTATGAAAATGTTCTAGAAGTACGAAATGACAAAGAACTCCATAAAATTACACTTTGTACCCACGTATATACAAATGCAGGGAAGATGGTTGAGCTCGAGTATTTGGAATTGCTACTCCAAATAGACTCGAGCCTAAATTCTGGTACTCAGTCAAGCTCAGGTCGAGTTTCGAGCACCAAGCACGCAAGTCGTGTCGAGCTCAAGCTCAAGCTTGACATCGTATCGACTTGGCCTGACTGGATTACATCCCTAGTTGACATTTTGGCGGACGGCTCTCACACCGTCTCTAATATTCTGCTTTAGGAACGGCCCGAGCCGTCCCAATGGAAACAAATGAGCAGGGGCAAAATCCTGAAAGGGCTATTAAGCATGGGACAGCTGCCGCCCGTGACGTCCTTACGGACAGCAACCAACCCGTCCCTAAAACCTCAGCGACAGGAGACACCTACGCGACGACAGTCATCGGTCGCCAGTGACCATGAAGGAAGGACGGTTTTTACTTTAGGCACGGTTTTGCTCGTCCTTTGTCCATCATTTAGCAGCGTGGTATGTTTGACTATGCAATACGCATCCCTCCTATAGACTTTTGTCGCATCACGTAATTACAGAACGAACGTAACCAAAGGAAAACCATGGACTGCTATTTTTCGAAAATTTTGTTCCGCACTGTAACATAGTCGACAGACTCTTGGCCAGATTCCTATTTTTGGCTCTTTTTCCAGTAATTCCAATAACCTCCTCGTCCTGGAGTCATTTACAGCTCTTTTATCTCCCTTTTGCAGTTTTCCCTCTGTTTTACACTGAAGAATGGATCAACAACTCTCAGACTGAAGACTAAACTATCGTTGTAACGATCCGGTCCGACGAGGGCGGGGAGTGGTCGTCGGGGCCAAAAAGGGCCTAGACAAGGAGCGGCTCCCGGCAAGCTTCTAGGATGGCAAGGGGAGGCATGTCTCTTGTCCCACATCGCCTAGGGGGGGAGTCCTGGGATTGCTTATAAGGTCTGGGTGGCCTATTCTGTGTAACGCGTTTTAAAGCCGTGAGGGTCAGTGGGCCCAAAGCAGACAATATTACACAGTGTAGACCCGGGGTGTTACATGTGATATCAAAGCTGACTTCCGACCGCGTGTGGGGCCACAACGAGGACGCTGTGCTCGAAGGAGGGGAGAATGTAACGACCCGGTCCGACGAGGGCGGGGAGTGGTCGCCGGGGCCAAAAAGGGCCTGGACAAGGAGTGGCTCCCAGCAGGCTTCTAGGATGGCAATGGGGGGCATGTCTCTTGTCCCACATCGCCTAGGGGGAGTCCTGGGATTGCTTATAAGGCCTAGGTGGCCTATTCTGTGTAACGCGTTTTAAAGCCGTGAGAGTCAGTGGGCTCAAAGCGGACAATATTACACAGTGTAGACCGGAGGGGAGAATGTAACGACCCGGTCCGACGAGGGCGGGGAGTGGTCGCCGGGGCCAAAAAGGGCTTGGACAAGGAGCGGCTCCCAACATGCATCTAGGATGACAAGGAGGGGCATCTCTCTTGTCCCACATCGCCTAGGGGGGAGTCCTGGGATTGCTTATAAGGCCTGGGTGGCCTATTTTGTGTAACAAGTTTTAAAGCCGTGAGGGTCAGTAGGCCCAAAGCGGATAATATTACATAATGTAGACCCGAGGTGTTACAATCGCAGTGCTTGAAGGCTTGAGATTTTCGGTTTTCATTGTCAGTAAGCCGAAAAATACAGAGACTAGTCTTGTAAGTTGAGTGCATATGAAAAGAAGGCTTTGGGATGCTGCGAAAAGTGTGGTTCAAGTTTAGCAATAATGGAATGGAAAACAAACAAAAACGAAGAGGGTCACCATTTTCATTGCATGAACTTGAAAACTTTTGATATTTCCACAATTCTTTCTTTCGAAAGAAAGAAAATGATTTCTCATTACCCACTATGGGATTGACCTGGTGGCAGGGGGCATTCTCATGCGTTTGGTTCAGAAACCGATGGTTGTAAGTTTCCCTATTGCCCCGGAGAACTCAGATTCAAGTGGGGGACTATGGCAGTGAGTTGCTGTATTAGTTCTCCTCGTCCACACAGGCATCGATCTACGGCTGTGTTTGTGAATTATAATAAAAGAAAAAAGAAAATAATTTCCCATTTTCTGATATTTCTGTTGCCATTAGTGAGTAGTCTTTATTATTATTATTATTATTTGCCATCAGTAGGCAGCTCCAGGATCTGCCATTTTGCATGGTGCAAAAAAAGAAAAGGAGACGAACGAGTAAGCAGAACAAGTATATTAAACTAATGTCCTTTGGATATGGTTACGAAATTATTGCAGCTACACCCACTTAAGCATGTGAGAGATATACAGTGTCGCGACCGACCTCCCCGCTCTTTTTTGAATACATGCAAAAAGGGAGGGTTCGCCTGGTACGTGCTAAGTCTAGGTTCAGGACTTAACTCGGGCCCTCCCAAGCCCATACCATGTTGCGACTTAGGGTTTAAGTATTTAACATGCAAGTGATTTATACTAAGGAGTCGCCACTAATCGATTTGGGGTGGGTCGATTAGAAACCCAAATAAGGTAATGGAAGAATCACCCTATTCCTACGAACTAGAGATTAATTGAGTTCGGGGACTTGGTTACACTAGTTGGATAACTAATGCCCTTTCGGTACCTTTTTATCCTGTTCATTTTTTGAAAACATTTGTCAGGCAATTTAGATTGATTTTAGGACCTTTCTCCTAACATGTGAGGTGATCAAGCGAGTGCATAATCAAAATGATTAGCAGTAAAAAACACAACAATTCATGCAGCCTAAGATTCTAACCTTAACTAAGTCGGATGACATTCAAAACACAACAACTCATGCAATTGTATCAAAAACATGCATAATAATACAACGACAATAAAATAACATGTAAATACTACCGCGCAATCCTAGGCTTGTCTAATTTAAACAAGACAAAAACTTGCATAATAATACCATAATAAAATAAAACAACAAATATATCACATAAAAAAAATTTGAAATTTTTTTTTTTAAAAAATAATAATAAATAAATAAATACGAAAAAGAAAAGGAAAAAAAAATAAATACGGAAGAAAAAGAAAAAAAATTTTAATTTTTTTTTAAATTTTTAAATTTTTTTTTATAAAATAAAATAAAAACCGGGTCGGTCGGATCCGACCCGAGGCGTTGACCCAGGTCGGGTCAGTGAACTGGGTCGGTCGGACCGACTCGGGTCGGGTCAGCTGAACCGGGTCAGGCCGATCCCACAGGCGCGGACGTCGGAGAAGCCAAAAATCGGCCTCTCACCGGCAGACCTAGATCGACACCGGCCTCAAATTGGCTTGTGGGGAACACCACCGAGCCTCGCCGGCCACCTGGGTCGCCGTCCGACCGCTGCTCGCCGGCCGGCAACCAAATTAAAAAACCGGCCTCTTTGAGGCCTTTTGTCGAGCAGATGGTGAGCGCAGCAAACAAAAGGGGATCCCGACTTGTTTCGAGGCCTCGCCGTCCTCGGGACACCCGTTCTTACCTTTGGCGATGACGCACGGACGGCGGGGGACGGCGGTATGGGCCGGGACTCGCGCGAAATGGCCGGCGCGGGTCCCGGTCAAACCGGGAGCAAAAACAGGGGAGAACAGAGCAATTCAGGTCGGGGGACGACTCACTGATCAAGGCTGCTTCGGGATGGCTTTCCGGCGGCTTTGCGGGCGACGGTGCGGCTACGGGGACCTGCAAAAGCTCGGGTTTCTTCTCTTTCTCTCTCTTTTCTCTCTGATTGTCTCTCTATTCTTTTCCTTTCTCTGTTTTCTCTCTATCTCTGTTTTTTGCTTCAAATG